CCTTAAATATGATAAGTTTCACTTAGAAATTCTCTAGAGACGTACTTTAATATAATTATTTGATTTAACTATAAGTTTAATATTACAATAAAACCTACATTTAATTCAATGACTCTAGAATATGTGAAAATAATATATTTTTCATATGTATACAACCATTTGATTGAATACACTAACTTGGTATGGAATCGTATTAAATTTAGAGGTAGAATCCAAAATTGTTACGACTCTATTTGGGGTGTGGGGTGGTTGCTTTTACTTTTTCTCTGCCTCGTTTATTGCAATCCTCGAACTGTCCTTTCCAACTAATGGGCAATGTGCCTAGGGGGGGGTCTACAAAGCCCAAAAGTCGAACCCTATCACACGCGCTTCCGTACTTCATAAGATGCAGACTACAGTTACGCGCCTGTGTAAGTAAAAAAAGCTACTCGCTCTTTTTGAATGACACGTGTCCATTAGCCCTTTAAAGGAAAAATAATACAGTTCAATAATTAAGACTAATGGTACCTTATGCCGTTTATAACTTAACCAATATATTTTTTAATGTTTTTTTAGGTATCGGGAGAAATTCTTACCTTGTCTCAAGAAACGCGTTTATATTGTTTAAGTTTACGAGTTTGAATAGATACAAAGGCAAACTCAGGGTGCATAAATCGGCCCCTCAATCTAAATACTAGTTAGATCATGACTTGCGCTTCAACGGAAATTTGAATCCATGCTAGAGATTTAGATACGATTCATCCTACCAAACGCTTTAATCATCCAAAAAACTTGAACCATTCACCTAAAAAAAACAAAACTTTCGCAAAGTTAAAAGTAACTTAGACCATAATCCTATTTGTCATTTTTCAACGTCAAACAAATCTTAACATACATTTACATTTTTTTTTTAAATGTTTACTTTAATTTTAAATTAGCTAAAAGTTAAAATAAGATTTAATTAGTTAAGATTTGTCTATAATTGAATATTTAAATCAAATATTCGATTAAATTATCAAATTAAAATTTTTAAACCAAATTTAAACTCGAATTAATTAAAATTCAATCTAAATTTAATTCCTTGAGCAGAAAGGATGGTACTGAATTAATGTTGTACTTTTGCTAGACTGGACTTGATATTATTGCCATATCCTACTGAGGCTTTTGCAAGTAAATGGTATTAAACCTGCTGGGCAACAAGTCTTCAATGGTTGACCATTTTGGGTCACGGCCATACATGTCTGTGCAGGGTTAGGACTCGCAATCCTCCCGAGTCCCTGACCAGTTGTGTTTCCAAGCTTCATATCGAGAAAGAGAAAGAGAAGCTGCTGCTTCTTCCTATGCTCTCCTAACAACCAATGGGTTAAGACTTCGCCACCCAAAGAGTTGCGGTATTAAAATTTATTATTTTTTGAGATTAAATTACACAAAAAAATTTAAATCAATCGTAATAATTTCATTTTGTTGTAATTTGGTATAAAAAATTGTACATTTCATTATCAAAAAATAAAATTTCCTTAACATATTTTTTGTAGTGTTATTATCCTTCTATAACGTTCAAGACTTCCACATACTAGGCAGTGCACCAAGAGATGGTGTTGTGTGTGTGTGTGAGAGAGAGAGAGAGAGAGAGAGAATTGTTTTGACTCTAGACCAACTAGGAAAAACATAAAAAAACATACCCTTAAGCAATAGTTCAGACTAGGAAAAACAAAAAAAACACACCCTTTGGGATAGGAGAGAAGGGAGAATGATTGTGTCCATTGGAGGGCATGTGCGAGGATCACAAACATACACCATTAAATATGTTCAACTAGGCTATAAAAACCTTTTAAATAAAGGGTGATTTAGGTCTTTGATCCTCTCCAAAAGTCCTCTAAGATTGAAGAATCATCACTTTACAAGTTACAACTCCAATCTCTTTTTGACTAAGCTAAGCTTAGTCAAATCAATAGCTAAGTTAGCTCATTAGAGAAACAATAGCTTGCCATTCTTAAATTTTCCTTAAAAATAAGAAGAAAAAAAAATACCCTCACCCGCCTACAATCTTCAGTTTCGACAAATTGTTCTTGGTTTTTTTTTTCTTTGCAAGTATATTAAGATTTTTGATCGACTATTCTTTTGAATATGAATCAAGTTTTTAGACAATTTCCACAGGAATACGATTTAGTCACAATGAAGAATTTTAATACTTGTCATTACAACAATGAAATGAAACATGTTAACTTTTACATTATTTGATTAATAAGTAAGGCTAAAATTTTAAATTTTAATAGCATCGTTCGTACTTATATTAATATATGCAGAACACATGATTTTTTCTTTTCTCTGACTGCACATTTGGTAAGAGAGAGTGAGGGTAGAATATTTGTGATGTCCTCACGTGGCTATGCATCTTTGATGCTCATGCAGCCCACCACTCCTTTGGCCTTTTAGATTAAAGATGAGAGAGAGAGAGAGAGAGAGAGAGAGAGAGAGAGAGAGAGAGAGAGGCTTGAAACAACAAGCGGATTTTGCAAAGCAACCCCCAAACCTACCCCAATTTGCAGGAATATCAGACAAGAAGGTCAAACAATGTCCTGGCAAAAAGATCCTGTCAATGATTTTACTTCTTAAAATCTCCCTATTCTCCTCCAAGCTTGGTAACAATGAAACCCCAAAAAAAGGGTCATCAATAGGACCATGCCTCATGGGCGGGCCCTTGCGCCTACCAACCCACCTGGTTAATCGGCGTCCCGGCTAGCCTTTAAGCAGCCCATTAATCCTGCAAGTTGGGTTTTGTACTGTGTTCTTGGGTCTGCGGTCTCGTCCATTAGCATACCAAAATTTTAGAAAAATGTGAATACATCAAACTTGACTGAAAAAAAATAAACAAAATAAATCATTCTATTAGAACCCGTAAGATGATTTTCCCGATAATGACCGATTAATAGTGACCGTAGGCTAGGTACTTTAAATAAGGGGTTTAGAAAGATCGGTAACTCCTTAAAAACTTAATAGGATAAAAGTATATTTTTTAAAATTATTGGGATAGAAATATATTTATTAAAAAAAAGTCATAAATGTCCTTTTACCCCTACCATAAATAGTGCATACTTAATTGAATATGAGATTTTCAAGATTAGAAAGTGAGAATTTTTTTAAAAAAAATTGATGTTTGTGTATCATTTGAATTTTGAAATATATATATAGTAACATATATATTTGTTCACTAAAAGAGTTGTACTTAAAAAGGAACTCGAAAAAATTGTCATTCAAATAATATCACCAAAGAGAGACACGAGATAATGACAATAGAGGTATAATCAATGACATCATGTAATGCCCCTTGATAGTGCCCAAATAGTGTCAGTAACTATTATTTGATGTTACTATTTTTCTGTTGAACGTATTACTATTTGATATTACTATATGTGTGTGTGCGCGTGCGTATATATATATATATAATTTTAAAATTTAAATAATACACAAATATCAAAAAAAAATTGAAAGTTTCATATTCTAATATTTAGATATTGAAAATATAAAAATTGTTAATTAAGTATGCATTATTTATGGTAGGGATAATTATGAAATACATTTTAGAAAAAATTTTAAAATGTGTACTTGATGAAAAAAAATGACTTAAAAGAGGATAAATTTAGAGATGGTATTTAAAGACAAATAAGTTTTGAAAAAGATACTCAAATTCTATTATCTCTTTCAAACAAATTGATTGAGTCCAGTCAAGGCCAACATATTACCGGCCTTTCTTGCCCACCAAAGTGAGCTCAGGCTCTCCATTCCTGGTCACTAAATAGTAGTGTTTTATTCTAGAAACTGTAAAGAGTATTTGGCAACCAAAATTTTCTCAAATAATAACATAGGTGCTTTTCAGGATGATGAACCTGAAACGATCAAAAAATTAAGAAAGAGGTCGAGTGATCACCGACTAATTCTTTCCGAAGCTCAAGTCAATCGACATGAGAGTCATTAGTACTATGTATTTTCTGAATTTTGTTTGCTTACCTTTGTTTATCTCTTTGATGATTATTTATACCTTAGCTAGTAATGATTGCATGATCTTTGAGTCATATCTGTTTATTTAACGGCTCACACTCGCATCTATGTGTAATTAATGTTGTCCCATCAAATTCTTTCAAGATCGATTCATTCGGGTGATCGAAACCCTACTCGGCACCTACTTAACCTTAATGGCCTTATCTCTGACTATTAAATATCACTGTTCGGTGCTTGATACCTATGCCTGAGCGTTCACTGCTTGAAAATAAGCACCCCTCGAGTTTCATCGAGGACAGAAGGTCGACTCCTTTGCAATTAATGCTTTGTATTGATGATTGTCCTCATACTTCTTGAGGATCTGGATGCGCAATTGATGAGTTATAGTCACTTATAACTGTATTTAATAAATTGTCATATCTTCTTTAATATCAGGTGCTGATGGGTGTACTCAGCCTCCCTAGACTTTAACTATTTACGTCACCTCTAGATATCTTTTGCGCTCGACACTGACTATAATGTTCTATACGTCACCTCTAGATATCTTTTGCGCTCGACACTGACTATAATGTTCTATATGTCGACTTTGCAACTATTGAGCCGCCTAAAGTCCCGTCTATAACTTTTGGTGATGAGCCATTCAAGGGATATGATGCCCTTGGGTGCTTACTTACGTGCCTTCACGTTGTAATTTCAGCAGATATGGAAAAAAGAAAAAAAAAAAAAAAAGGTGAAAAAGTAAAAAAATATGTATTCTCAAAATGTTTTATAGCATTATGTATCATAAGCAACAGATTCTTGTTAGTAATTTAGTATGTATTAGTATTTAGTAATAACTTTGGCAAATGTCACAAGCAGCTCTCTTCCCTTTCCTTCGCCTCCCGCTCCCGCTCTCCCTCCCTCCCTCCCTCCCTCTGCCCCCAATTATTCACCTATCAATTACATCAACTCCTAACAGAAACCACTCTGGTTTTCTTGTTTCGGCTCTTCTAACCATATACACCACCTACATACATACCCAACCTTTATGATGTCCCTCCCTCCATCGTATCAAGCCTCTTACATAGACCCCATGCTCCATTTTCTGTGTCTGGTGGCCTTGTAGGTGGTGGGGTGTGTTTTTGTGTCGCTGAATGGATTTTGGGATGGTAGGTTTAGATGGGTTGGTGTGTTCAGACAGTGGCTTTGCTTCTACTCTTGCTTCAGATCCTGAGACCAAGCAAAAGTGGTACGGATCTGGGGGTCTCAAGCAGGAAAGGTCTGTGACTACTGAAGATGACTGGAGGGACTTTAAAGTGACCAAAACTACTGATGATTTCTCAGTCTCCAAGGCAATGCTGCTCGAGCAGAGAAGTCCTTTGCTGAGATCTAACAGCACTACACTCTCTGATGGTCAGCAGATGCTGAGCTTCTGCTTACCCAACTCACAAACTGTTACATACCCTTACTATCACCACACATCAAGTGGTTATAGTAGAAGTACAGGTACAAAAGTATTTTCAAGGCTTCAAGTCTGTGGGGGGTGTAGTGATACATTAGAATAGGAATAGAAAGTGATGTTCACTATTAGGTTTCTCGTTTGGGGAACTAATATGGGTATCTGGTCAGTGGGTACCTGTATAAAGCTGTAGTTTTTAAGAATGAGTTTTGGTATTAATTGGTTGGCATGGAGGTTAGTTATTAACTATTTGGGGCTTTTTTGATTACAAGAAAAGATGGGAAGGTCTTTTCATGTAAACAGATATGGAGTCTGGTCAAAAAGGGTGATTTTCTTCTTGTAACATGTCTTCCTGGTTAAACGGAGATAAGTTGTAGTAATGATACAACACAGAGGACTATTGAGTACTAAAGAAGATAAATATGAGGCATAATATTAGCAACAAAAAACCCATCTTTCGATTGATGGGTTCTGATTTGTGATGGTTTTTGTATCTGTGATTTGTTTTAAAGACAAGAAATTCATGATTGTTGTAGCCTCTTTAAATGTTGCAGACAAGTTATAATTTTGGGTTTCCTATAACACCCTTTTTTTTGACTTATTTTGTCTACTTCGTAGTCAAAGAGGTATTTCATTTTCAGTTTGCAGTGAAATGGTTTTAGGGATGTGCCTTTTTCCTCTGTCAAAAATGCCTGAATCTTTTGATCTTTCTGTTTCAGGCTATGGCTATGGAGTCTTAAATGCTGCAAACATGCAGGGGGTACTAACCGGGGTTAGAGGACCTTTTACCCCATCACAATGGATGGAGCTTGAACACCAGGCCTTGATCTACAAATACATCACTGCAAATGTGCCCATCCCATCAAATCTTCTCATCCCAATAAGAAAAGCCCTTGAATCTGCTGGCTTACCTAGCTTCTCTGGCCTTAGACCCAATACTTGTAAGTGATTAAGTATGCTCTTTTACCCTTAAAATATGTAGTTTTATGATCTTTCTAGCAAGATTTGCTTTGCTGTCTTTTTGGTTGAACGTAAATGTATATCAGAAACAACCTAAAGAGGTTGTATGATACTCTCTCTCTCTCTCTCTCTCTGGGATGGGATGGGATGGGATTTTAAGGGGTTCTCTCTAGCTTCACTGATTAGTTTGTAGCTTTAGTTCCTTCTAAAAGGGAGAGTAAAAACAATGGTTGTTACTAATCATGTAACAGATTTATGGTCATTTAGCTGCTATACCCTTCATATATAATTATTTTTACTTTGGGGTTAAGAGTTTGTTGATATGTAAGTTCTCAGTTAAAAATAGAGAAATGGTGTCATAAACACAAATTTTTACGTCCAGAGTACTAAACTACTGTTGACCACTAGTTTTTTGGTTCAGAAACGATATTCCTCATGTTATGGCATGTCTCCTGATTTAAAGAGTTAACTTTGTTATTTGTTACCAGGGGAATGGGGTTCTTACCATATGGGATTCTCTAACAACAATGATCCGGAGCCGGGAAGGTGTCGCCGGACCGATGGGAAGAAATGGCGGTGCTCTAGAGATGCAGTTGCCGACCAGAAGTATTGTGAGCGGCACATGAACAGAGGCCGCCATCGTTCAAGAAAGCCTGTGGAAGGTCAAACTGGCCATTCCGTCTCCGGACTCACCACAACCACAACCACAACTACTAAGTTGATGCCAATGACTTCCTCCTCATCGGCATCTGTGGTCACCGGGAACGGCGCAACCAACAGCCTCGGCCTCTCGCACCAACACCAATTCAGTAACTTGCAGCCTGCTGCACCTAATTCTTCTCCATCCCCCAATCTTAGCAGGTAGATAATATGATACCTTATGATACTAATACTTGTTGGAATTTATGTTCTTCCAGCCTATTCATAGTATTTAAATTGGTGTTGAATTATCTGCATAGTTTCACTTTGCCTTATTTCACTGTGAGGTGGTTTTTAAATTGTCCTCTTTGCGGAGATGAAAGTGCTTGGTATTGGTGGCCGCCATTTCTCTCCAGAGGGATTGTTGCTTAGAATTCTAGATTTTTTTACAATGACATTAAACTTATCTGTAATTTGGAATATTTCATCCTATTTAATTGTTTTGTGAATCCCCTTTGTTCAATTTGGATTCACCATTGTTGCTCTCCATGGTTTGTATTATACCAACAGGAGTTATATGAACAAGGAGAATATGGGTGATAGAGTTCAAAATACAACAGGCCTCTCCATGCTTATTCCGACCATTGGCCTAAAAGAAAACCAATATTCCATGCCAAAACAGCAGTATCTGTATGGAGAACCTCGGGCGGAGTTTGGATTTGTCTCCACTGACTCCTTGCTCAATCCTTTGAACAAAAGCTCTTCGCTCACTGACTGCAGAAACTATGGTTCATCTGAAGACCTCAATGAGCGTGTGAACAAATCACAAAATTTACTTCACCAATTCATGGATGACTGGCCTAACAGCCAGTCTGAACGATCAGCCATTTTGTGGCCTAATATTGATATGCAGTCAGACAGAACCCAACTCTCTATTGCAATTCCCATGGCTTCCTCAGATTTCATGTCAGGTACTTCGTCTCCCACCAAAGAAAAGCTTGCACTTTCACCTCTCCGATTATCACGGGAGCTTGAACCAACCAAGAGGGTTTTGGGGGTGGGTATGGTCCTCAACCAAAGGCAACCAAATTGGGGCCCCATTTCCTGTGAGACTTCCATGTGTGGACCTCTTGGAGAGGTTCTGCATAGCACAAGTAACAGTGCAAGCGACTGCAAGAAGGCATCGGTTCTTAACCTCATGACTGAGTGTCCCAGCTTGGCATCATCTCCGACTGGGGTTTTACAGAAGGCCACATTTAGATCTCTCTCCAACAGCAGCGCTGGGAGCAGCCCAAGAGCTGAGAATAACAAGACACTTGAAGTGGGTTTCTCCAGTGGCATCCATGGCTCAACTCTTATGAATCCCTCCTTGCCTGCTTTGTAACCATCTTCTTATCCAAACCTGAGAAGACATTCGGTAATGTTCAATGAAGTGAGTTTTTCTCTGTGCTAACAAAGTTTTGCTTACAACTAAGCTTTGTCAGTTGGAATTTGTTTATTTCTATGGTTCTGTATTCTGTTTACCTTTCGGGAATGTTTTCGGTTTTTTTTTTTGTGATTAAATCTTTTGTGGATGGTTAAGTTACTGAAAACTTGACTGATACTGCGAGATCAGGGATTCTGCTTCTCAATCTTCGTCTGTTAATGTGACTTGAGAATTTTATTTCCAGTATGCATTTTCTTATGTTTGGTGAGTGTTTCAATCACCCATTCTGGCTCTCAATCTTGATCTGTCAGTGTGAATGACATTTTTGTTTTCCAGTGCATGTGCTCATGTTTGGTAGAGTGTTTCAATCACTGTTCTCTTTTATGTTGGTAAGAAGCATGTTGGTGGCTTGTTATAATGATAGGGTAGTAAGGGAGCTTAATGGTGGGCTACAATTTTCATCAACCTGTCAAACACAATTGTAGTCAAGAGTACATTGATACTGTTCCGACTCAAAATTAAATTGTATCTTGCAATTCAAACATGATCTTGCATTCTATCGCGAGTGTTGTCTATGTTTACAAAATTTTCAACTTGGGTTGAAATTCGGATTCAATTTCCAGATAGAATCTGGGGTTGTTGGCATTTGCATATAATTCAAATTCAAGATGAACTTGAACTGCAAGTTTTTGGGTTGGGTCTTAAATGTGTAAGATCCCTAATCCAAGCACTGTTTGATTTTAAATTGGGATGAAAATTTTCAGCTCCCTGACTCAACTAAAAGATTGAATATCTCTGCTTTAGAATTGAATTTGGGTTGAATTGATTCAGTCCATCCCTGTGACATTTATACAACAACCCTCAACTCCATTCCAGTCTGAATCATTCTGTTTCCTTCCCAGTTGCTATATTACTTTCCTTTTTCATTTCTGGAATCTGTATTGTTCAGCCTTCAACTTGTAGCCTTACCTTTTTGCTTGAAATTAAACATGAATGGCTTGATATAATGGTAAGGTATGGGTCATTTCTTGATCGGTTCGATCTCATATTCCTTTTATCAAGCTTTGCTCTGTTACTATTCTCAGTTATCATTTGCACAATCATAGCTGTGGCACTTACCTTTGCTTTCAAAGGGAGGGGTATCGGCATTCAAAGTCAAACAATTCTTTATATTCTCGAGGAATTGGATGAGATAGGTAAGGAATTTATGCAAAAGTGGAGGAACTGGATGAGAGAGGGAAGGAATTTAAGCAAAAGGGGTGTAGCCTTGAACCGCTAACTCGAAACAATTTAAATACCATAAAAAAACCTCTAACCAGACTCGACCGTTGTTCTACTTGAGAGAAAAGATTTCATTTCTCTCATTTGATCTTGATGATACCTCAAATAAGTTATAAGAGCCCAGGAAACGAGGTCAGGTCAGGAGGTCTGATAGGATATAAGGAGCTCAGAAGTCCAGGATTAGAGTTTTCCCTAGGGAAATGATAGCGGAACTGACCAGGGAACAGTTGGATAACTGCGAAAATTGGGTTCAAAGCATGAAATTCTCAATCAACCAAGATTCACTCCTAAAATCAAAAAGAGTCCCACTAATGGCAGGCCGAGAGCCTACAGAATAGAAAATAGTCCTATAAATGCTATGTAACGCCTTCATAGAAAGAGGGGAACCCTAATCTTTGAGAGAGACGGTATTGTAATATATTTGAGTAGTGAATAGAGGAGAGGGAGCAAGGGCCTCTATTAAAGAGTGGACTAGTCGAGCTCCTGAGCCAGTGAACCACTATATTTTCACTATGTATACCCCTCTAATCCCTTTTGCATTTCGTTCCAGTCTCACACACGAGCCATGTAGCTCTGATCCACGCTTATCATACGTCACCTGCACTTTTTGCTCATCAACGTGGCCATATGCCATCAGATCTCAAGACTGCTATCGATTATTTACCTGTTATCCTGACGTCGTGTATGATTGTAAGGTGGTCTTAAAATACAACATGGATGGAGGAAACTTGGGATGTCCGTAGGTTGAAGAAGACTAAATTCAAAAATTACAGAAAATTTACCTTTAGTTTTAAAGATTTTTATTTTGACCCCTATATTCTTCTAAACTTAATTTTAACCACTATTTTACTTAATAAGTTGTAAGAATAGAATTCTGAAAAATTTATGATAGTACCGAAAATAGAAAAATTTATTTTTTTAAGGAAATTACACTTTGACCCCAAGTTTCAAAAATTATGATTTGACCTCAAAATTTTAGAAACTTTTTTTAAATAGCCCAGAATACTTCGATACCCTATTACCTCGTATTAGAAAGGATATTTATATGTAAATGATATATTAAGTATATATCAATGGGTATGAAAGACGTAAATTAAATATAAAATCGTAAAATGACGAAGTTAAGAATAGAGATTAATTGTTATATGTTATTTTGGATTAGGTGGTGATTGCATTGAAGTTGGAAAATAGTGCTTTGAATTGAATTTTGAGAATCAATGTGAGTAGTTATTACTTCTTTTGGATGGATTTTCTATATTAAATGTGTGGGTGCGTGTGAGTGAATTTTTTGTTTGGGTTGCAATTAAATATTTTAAAATTGTGAACTATTATGCAAGTGAATTTTGAAAAATTTGTGGGAAGATTTTTATATCATTGCTTTGGTGATGAAAGAGAAATTTTGTGTGTGTTGAGATTAAAACTACAGTTTTGGTGTGCGTGAAAATTATGTTTATAAGATAGGGATTGGGGTTACTAGGTCTTAGTGGTAACAAGCAACTGAGCCAGTCATCAGGTTAGTGATGACAAAAGATTGAGTAAGTTACCAGACTAGTGGTAACAAGAGACAAGGCCAGTCATCAGGCTAGTGATGACAAGAAATTGAGCTAGTTATCGGCTTAGTGGTAACAAGAGACTGAATCAGTTATCAGGCTGGTGGTAACAGACATGATTTGACAAATGTATTTGGAATTGAATGTTTGTGTAAGTGTTTTGGGTTATAAATGTCTTTTCATTTATAAAGTTATTTGTGAAAATGAGTGGTATTTTAGGTTATAAATGTCATTTCATTTATAAAGTTATTTGCGATCATGAGATCATTTTGTTTAAATAATTATGTAAGAGGGGTTGTGGTACAATTTGTTGTACTTATGTATGTATCAAGTTTATTTTTGTATATAAACTGAAAGATTTATTTTCACACCTCATTAAAGGTGATTGTTATGCCGGGCCATTGTGCTCATGTAAATATTTAACATTTTTCAGGTGAGGAGTAAGTCTACAGATATATAACGGATTAAAGGATTTGAAGATTTACTTTACTGTAATTCTTCAAGAATAAATGTCTTTTATAGTTTTAAAACAAATATTTAATTGTTTTGGAAACAATGCTACTTATGTTTGGAGTAATAAACCTTACAGTTTCATTATTATTTTACATGAATTTAGTAATGATGTTTAGTTTATTCTTCTGGTATTTATTAGGCCAATGGAATGAATAACTTTATTATTTGTCTTCTGCTGTATTTTGTATTTATTATGCATAGGATTGATTGATTAAGACCTTGATGGCCACTCTGTCGCCCACCCTATGTGATCCGGGGTGGGGGTGTGACACTATTGCTCGGGGTTTTGGGGGTTCCAGGTTCATGCTTGGTCTATACTGCATAAAGGGTTTAGAAAAACAGCAATCCTGGTCCAATGCAATAATTACTAGGTTTACTAAACACAACATAGGGAAAACCAATTATCCTCGTCCTAAACCAAGTACCTAGATAACATTGTATATTTGTAATTGTGCAAAGCTGGCTTTATAATCAAGATTAAATTTTGTTTCAAAATGATCAAAATATTTTTATTTTCAGGAAAGTTTTTAATGTGGGCAACTATCTCCTACATAGGGGTGTTCACCCTACCCTACAGTTAAAAAATATATTATTCTGTTTTCTTACCCGATACTTTGCAGAAGAAATTTTTCTTAGCCTACTCTATCTGATCAGGTGTGATATTTCTACTCAACTTCCTACCCTATTAATCAGGTAAGAAGTCGGATAAACACTTTTGTAGCTATTTTTTTTTAGAAAACATGAAAAAAAATTATTTATTTATAAAATAGAGAAATTACAAGAAACAACCAAGGCACATAGCCTCACAAAAACAACCAAACAAAACTAAGGCACATGCACCATTTTCAAGTAAATTTCTATGTTCCTTGATTATGAAGATGGATATATTTTGAAACAAATCTACAACAACAGATTGTTCTCTGCCTTTGGCTTCCAAATTTCTTATCGGAAAAACAAAGTACCATTGAGCGATGGGTCTCGTGGGTGATTGAATGGAAGTGTGGTTTGTTCAAAAGCAAACCACCTTCATAAAACATGACGAAGCATGAATAATAAAAATAACTTCAACACATTCGTTAATTACTTCAGTCTGTAAATGAAATCTTAAACATTTCTAGATCCAAAAAGTGATAATATTGTCTATTAAAAATTATAACAGGTTCAAAAAACCTTCAAATACACATCAAGTATATAATATCACCTTTAAGAAGAAAGAGCATTGCTATGGGTTTAAAATTTACAATAAAAATGATTTTGAACACCCAGACCAGAAATATCACCTTTGACCTTGTTGGGATCTAGCTTATAGCTCAGACTAGACAATTCGTGAGAAAGCAAGGTTGCGCAGAGAGAGAGCACACCAGATCGCGATCAGACCAAACCACACCAGATCAGACCACACCAGAGGAATGCGCAATCAAACCAGGCCAGACCACACCAGATCGAGAAGAGAGAGAGAGTACCTAGGGACTGAATGATGAAGAAGGAGTGGAGTGAGGACTGAGGTGCTCTCGGGACTCAATAAACGATTAGGGTTTTTTTAGTTTTATATATATATATATATATATATATATATATAATTAATTAATTAATACGGGTAGGGTAGAGTAGAAATGCGAAAATGGAAGATTATTCTGCATTTCTACCCGATTTAATCGGAATACCAAAAACTCTTCTGCATTCCTATTCCATTTTTGCAGCTAGCCGTTCAGTAGGGCAGGATAGAAAATTGATGATGCACAAAAATAGTTTTGCACACCACCTGTCAAGTGTAGGTAATAAA